GGAAGAGAACTGATAGTAGACTGGTTAAATTTAAAATAGCTTCAGAATCAAAATGTGTACTGAAGAAAACCACAGGAAGAATGCTTAGTTACACTGAATTAGCATTCCCCCTTCCCTTCAAACATTGCTTTCCTTATACGTCCCTCATTTTTTCAGCCAGCAGCAAATTTAAAAGGTGCTCAGAAATTATTAAGCAGTTGGTCCCAACCCATCAACAAATTGCTCTTTATTTCCTTGCTTGACATTTTCATCTTAATAATGCACTTCTAATATTTACCATCTTGACTGCAGGCTCCATGAAGTTTGATGACGTGCGGATGGTTCACCTGTTTCAAAAGGTTGAACTCGGAAAGTAGATCTCGCAGCTCACTCTGGGAAGCATTTTCTGCAGAAAGTGTCCAAACACATGGTTGTGGTTAGGAAAGCATTACTCAGGAGTTCTGTATTTACCGTCTGAAGTACGAGATCAACCATTTCTCCTGGAATTAGCAAGAGGCTGGAAAACTCCGTGCTTCCCCACAGGAGAGAAATTTCCCCATCTCTGCTGTCCTGCAGTCATTCGTACCAGAACTAAGTGAATGGGACCGCTGCTGCTCCGGCTTGGTAACCTGCTCTCATCATCACTCTGCCCTGATAACGCTGACTACAGAAAGAGTCGGTCAGCCAAGAATCAGGACCAGAGTCTGTAATGCCCTTAAGATGCCAGGAAATGATTAAAGACCTTTTCTAGTGTTCTAAAGCAACTTTTTAGGGTGAATCAGTGCAATCGAAGCTTCAGAAGCATACGAAAGCCAAGATTTTATGTTGATCAAATAAAAAAGACTCACTCGGTTAACTCGCATGATGTAGCCCTCCTCCTCCTACATACCTTTTCTGATGGAGTAAAAATCTACTAATCTACTGGCTTACACTTGTAGCACACATCCAGATTTAGACTTCAGAAGCTAAACGTACAGTTCAGATTGATTTTACTGGGAGACACGTGTGCAGACCTTGCTGATGTCAGTGGGAACCGTATGACAATATATAATCCCTGGAGGCTTTCTTAGCCTTTCAAGCATTTTGTTTTTGCAGAATTCTGACTAACAAACTTCCTCTTTGAATGCACTGGGGCTTGAAGGAGATCTTCAGCCATAAAGACACCGTAGGTCAGAGATAAGCCTTTTTCTACCTCATCCTTCATCTCTCGGATGCACAGACCCTGCCTGGATAGCTCCTACAGAGTGTTGTTACTGGGCAGCTGACAAGTATGTGGTCACCTTTACCTAAGGCTAATAAACAACAAGCTCTGTTTCTGCTCTTTCGTACCTTAGTGATGTTTTTCCATAAAGGCTGAAAGCACGCAAGGATTTATTTACATATCCATTTAAAATGCATGTGCTAATAGTTTGCCTTGGTCATGATCCTTTTTTATTCTGTTCTACTGTAAGTTTGTATCAGTACTATATGTTCGTATCTGCCAAGTATAATCTTATAGTCTGAACCTCCACTCAGACTTCAGAGTCATCTACCCCAGGGAGGGTAATATCCGATTGTCCCTCACTACCGATAGGGACTACAAAAAAATATGCACTTAACTAGAACAAAAGTGAACAACGTCAACTTAATGCCTGCGAGAAAGTCCTGTTTTTCTAGGTCTGGAGCTGTGTAGCATGTGCAAGAACAGAACAAAGTTCCCCATGTACCGTGCCTGTTTGTCTGCTGGGAAAACTAACTTCGACAGTGCACAAATGGAGACAATTAGCTCTGAAGCTTTATGCCCTTTGTTTTTACAAATTGCGAATAATGTCTATTTACATATTGGTTGGTGTTTTCCCCTGTAATTTTATTGTAAGGAGGGCATTTGTATCCTGCAGGAGGTCAAATTTAATTCATACGAGAAAAGTGGTAATAATGGACTGAAAAAATTATCCCATTATTATGTGGGAAAGAAGCAGGTATATTTGGGGCTGAAAAACTAGTGAACAGAGACGGAGAAGAGCTCAAGGTATTGCATTATAATCTCAATGTTATCCAGGCATACGTTTTTTTCCCTAGCTTTAACGTCTTGGAGAAAACTGAAGACACCAGGAGACAGCACTGGGCTATTCAAGCCAGTTTGGCAGGGCTCCCAGTAATTGAAAAGCAGATCGGAAAGTATAAAAGTAGATAGAATTCTCAATCAGAAAAGTAACTTCATAGGCCTATTATGTCTCTTGACATGATTATAACACGTTTTATTTAAAAAGCTTTGTTAAAGAAAACTGGGTAGAGGAAAAATAATCAGAAAGCTTTAACAAATTAACATGGTTTAGTAGGCATGGTGGTGTTGGGGTGACGGTTGGACTTCATGATCTTAGAGGTCTTTTCCAACCTATGATTCCATGATTCTATGCACAAGCCCTTGCAGTATTTCCACCAATCCCAAACAAAATTAAACACGTTTGTGATGTTAAGTCAGAGACTCCTTGGACATCATGAATTAGAATTTGTGGATATTCCCTATTTGGATCAATGTGATGCTAGCTCCTCAAGTAAGAAATCTATCAGAACGTAACGGAATGCTGGGAAAAATGGAAGCTGTGACAATGGATGGTTTTAGCTGACCTTTTACTTTCATGCTTGCTCCTCTTAAAATCCATTCTGAGGTTACAACAAATATATTTCAAACCATTTCAGACCCAGCTGTGAATGCACCTTTTAGCATTTTCACTGCCACAGTGGTATAGCCAGCTCTTCCCTTGAGTCGGAATGCTGTTGCCTTGACGACCTTTCCAAATTCTCCTTCTCCAAGAGTCTTGCCCAGAACCAGGTTCTTCCGAGGGAATTCCCACTTTGGATCTTCCTGCAGGAGAGAAAAGGAACTCTAAGTCGAAGCAAGGAAAGGATTATCTAGCTGCACCCAAAGATTAACATTCACTAGGAGAACGTGCTTCAGGAATAGGTACACTTTGGTGTACAATGTTTGGTTGCTCTTTTTATCAGTATCGGTGAATTCCTATAAAAGCTGCTGAATCTCTAGGTATCTTGAAAGTGTTTTTCCATTACCTTGAAATCGCCTACATCAAAACAGGCTGTATGTGTAATCTATGGATAACGGATTATATTTACAAGTCTGGGAAATGGGATACAAATGACACATGAAGTGATACAGGATAAACGCTTGCCTTTCAGAATAACTAGGATACCTGACCTTGGACTTCACAGAGAAGTAAATCACTTTTACTCATGGAATAAGGCTTTCCCTTAAGAGTTCATCAGAGACAACAAACCTCCTACGAAATTAGCGTTATTAAGCCTTAGAGTTGCAAAACGATGACAGATGTACAAACCAGACAAGAAATTAAAGCAAACGGAGCACAAGGTCTGTGAAGACCTCAGTATATAACATCCAAATAGATTTGATGTTGCCACATACATCATATAAAGGGGCAGTGTTTCTCTGCTGTGTTGGTCCATGAAAACACACAAGCTGGGAGTCATCCTGGATAGTATGCGTTTCAACACAAAAAACCCCTAGATTACAGGTATGATAATGTGACTGGGCAAAAAAACTTAAAATGTGGGTAAAACTCACACTCCAGCTGCCACCTACAGTCTATATTGATTTAAACTTACCCTTGTTGTGATACTATGGCTCGTCACAGAGACTACAAACCTACTGATTGTCAGTATTTAATTAGACAAAGTAAAACCACACTTCTTCCAGATGTCGAGTTGCATTTAGAAAATAACATTGGCTCAAATTAGGCCTAAGATGTTACATTATATTAAAACATAATGAAAATAGAAGAATATATGGTTTATCCAATTACTTGTTAAGTATCTTCAGTTCCCTGCCTGTACACGATTTCTGTTTTAGTTATTTGAGTTGGAAATTTCTGTGAATAGAGTGCATTTCCATAACATTTTCTTCATGCATAAACAACATCCTTTAGGAGCAAGAAAGACATAGAAAAAGAGAATGTGAAGCAAAGTAGGTCAGGCTTACTGGTATTTTAAAGGTGTCTACGGACACCTGGTTCTCCATGGAATCTAAAGAAGGCCGGCGGACGTTAGTGGAAGAATAACTGATGGGGTAGGACTGGGCTGGGCGCCGGAACGTCATTTCTGCAGACGCAATAGGTGGCTTTGGAGAATTCTTGTGGTAACGATGGATGAAATAGGAAGAAAGCAGCACGGAGATGATGAAGGACAGCAGCACTGCCCCTGCTATCACCGTCTTGCACACCTCATCACACAGTTGCTCTGCGGACCAAGAAGAGCTGCTTAGAACTTTGCTTGTTTTCTCCTACTTCCGATTGGGCAGTGCACATGACACACAGGGGCATCACAGAAACAGAATTCAAAATCATTTAAAAACCTAGAGGAAAACCTAACAGCTAATTCCTAATGAAATCTGAGAATTTGCAAATATGCCCACTGCATCTACCAATTTTTTTTTTTATTTTATTTTGGACACCAGCAGGTAATTGTTTGCCTAAATGCCTGTGTAAGTGTAAGGATAGGCTTGACCCCATATTCCTTATCTTTAGAGATGTAGGCTACTTCTGACACTTGTCTTTCATGTATTTTCTGATACCACTTATCTCTCTGAAGACATATGACTAAATTTTGTTTGTGGACAACAGTTTATGTTAGAGCTATTCAACCCATCAGATGAAATCTTCAAATGTGCATTTAATTCATTATGTCAATTGCTAGACATTAAAGAATATTTCTCTTCAACTTTCTAGGTTATAAGGAAACTTGGAATATTTCTGCTTTGTACTTAACAAAATAATTCTTTCTGAAAACATTGCCTAATGCTGCAACTGCTTCTAAAATAATATGCATTTTTTCCTCCCCATTTACTATTTCCCCTTTTGCAGAAGCACTTTTAGTGTTTTACTTTCAAAACTTAAGTTTTTTTAAGCCTGTGTGCCCCTAGACAGCATCTGTAGGGAGTCGCTTCCGGAAGAAACAGAGAGATCCAAAATACAGTCCTTGCACTGTTGCTCCTCAGATAATCCTGACTTCAGATACATAGTTAATTTGGCTACATCTGCAAACTATACCCCAGAAATAAGTGGAAACAGCACAGTATCTTTCTGGGATCAAAAAAAAATAAAAGAAAAAAAAAAAAGCAAAAGCAAGAAGCTTTAGGTTTCCTCTTTTTCTTCTTATGCTTATCGAAAATTTACTCAGAAGAGTAAATTGAGGTAGATCCCAAACAATGCAGTTTTAAAGATGCAAAATATTTCATGTTATATTTATTATTAGCAATAATAAAGATTATTTTTTTTAATAAAATCCCAACAGTATTTAATCCTCATCAGTCTTTTTCAAACAACTGTCTAGAGCTTTTCTGTTTAAACAAAGGTCAATGAAAAAAGTAATCCACTCCTCCTAAAACACAATGTGTGCTGGCTATCTCTGACATTCTGAAGCCGAGATTTTTAGAAATGATTAGGGGGCTGGAATTACTTGAAAGTAATAGAAGTTGTTGTTCTAATTCTCCTGGCTGTCTTTGCAAATACCAGGTGAGTCTCACTGAAATGCAAATACTGCTGGAAATCAAAGGACCCGTTTGTCATGTAGTAGTGGATAAAAAAGAATCCTTAGCCAAGGATAGAAATAACCCCCCTCCAGAGATTTTCAGGCTCCATAGGAGAAGTGAAGGTGACAGTTCTTAATTAATTTTGTATTAGCAGTCTCTAACCAATGATATTCCTTATTCACATGCCCACAATTTTAGATCATTGTATATATACAGATAGTAGATACAAACAGAGGAAAAGATTAATATGAGAACAATAGATAATGTTAAGACTTACCCTTGATATCATCTTTCTCACAATAACAGTTCTGTCTTGGGAAGCAGTAACAAATCCCATGTCCTGACTTAATTCCAAGATTTCCAATGCCTTTCCCATGACCACCAATAATGTTTCCGCCTAATGAAATACAGACACAAGCTAAGATTCTGACATGCAGCTAAAGGAAAAAAAAATAAGGCTCAAAGTCTTCCATGGATTTATCCTAGTATGCATCTGAAATTTGACAGGGAAGCACAGTACAGCAATAATGACAAGAGATTCCCGAGAATTAGAAAAGGCTAATTCTGAAATTTCCGAGATCCTCAAATGAAAGGACCTTGGACTGCTTGAACATTAGCCCTGGTTAGCAATTATTCCCATTACAGAAGACTCTCGATTAAAATTTATCTATAATAAAAAAAATATAATAGTTCTATTTGCGTTGCATCATTGGGATACTTTCCTAATTTCATGCACCCTTTAAAATCTTGTACAGAATCTCATTATTCAGTGCAAAACTTCTGCTCAGTTGATCATCTCACGGCTGTCCTGACTCAGTTACCTCATAAAACACTACAGTTCTGTATCAGTGAGGTCATCTTACATTTTGCAATTCTCCCTACAATAACTTCTCTAGTCTACTTATTTTAGTTTCCCTCTACTATTGTCTTAGGTATTTTTCTTACGCATGAGACGACATACAGTCTAGTGGTATCAACCAGTGGTCCACAGACTTGAGTTCCGTTCCTGGTTCTAGGAAACATTCCTGTTCTAGGTATCATTTGTTCCATTGTCAAATGGAGATAACGCTATTTAATCACATCTATAAAATGCCATGGGATAGTCTAGTGAAAGCGCTAAGTGCCAAGTGTAAGTGATAAAAAAACTGAATCTTCTGTTATCTAAAAATGCGTTATTTAATATCAGGAAAAAAGTGCAGCAGCTCATATGATCCGCTCTTAATTTCAAGCAGGGGTTCTTCATGCAGAATAACTGCACTGTATTTGCAAGTAAATAACTAACTTTCTGCATGTATTATAAAAATGACAATTAGTTGTGACATTTTTAATCTATAAAGTGCTGTTAATCACAAGCAGCATTGTACAGACAGAAACCAGCCAAGTTCTGCAAGTTCAGGTGCCTCACAGAAAAATCGCCCAAACCATAAAGGGATTCAAAAGATAAACAATTTTTTTTCAATATTGTCTTCTCTTTATTTCAGCTCATTTTCCTCCATCTCATCTAAGTTGATAGTAGAGTGAATGACCGTTTCTTTTACATTTCTTTGGATGTGCAACGTGAATTGAGCAAGAGGGTATTTTTTTTGGCAACATAAAGACAAAACATCCTTTTTTAGGAGTGAAATGGGGACTTGAGTATTTAAGCAGAGTAGACAGATTTTGACCATCTTTCTAGAGAGGCCACACCCACTAAATTATATGCAGCTCAGCGGGTTAATTTTGGAAGAGGCTGTGCTGAGTCACTGCTCTCAAAGCTGACACTTCTTGTTTGAAGAAGCGTGGGTGTTCCCAGAAATTCTTGATTATCCCCCCACCAGCCAACTTCCTCTATTGTGATGAGGTGATGAAATAAAGTGTCCATTAGCCTCAGAAAAATCATATATATTTATCTATATCTGCCTATGTTTGGTCCATGGACTTGGTAGAAGGGGCAAGCAGGGGATGAGCAGGTCCTATCTAAACTGTTCTTGAGTGAGGGATATTAAGACAAAGGGGTTTTACATAGCAGGGAAAGGAGAAGTACATTTTCACTCCAGGTGTACACTGAAAACATGCAGCTTCCTATATGCATTCCAGAGACCCAAAAATGTATTTTTCACCAATGGGTTGCTTGTAGGGACATGTACTTTTCACCAATGGGTTGCTTGTAGGTAAATTCCAAGAATTATCAATATTGTTTTGAATTGTGTGGCATTTCACGTGCTCCCGTTTTAATGCATCAGCTGTGGTGGGAAAGACCTTTACCTGCTTCAAGATCATTCAGAAAAAGGGAAAAAAGTGGCTCTATCCCACACACCACATAGAAAATCCAGAAATTCAGAAAGCAAAACCACTGGTTGTTGGACAAAACCAAAGACGATGTCCAACTACCACTGAAAACAAGGACATGTTAAGCAAGGTAGAAGCTTCTTCTATTAGCAGAAAGGCAAAGTTCAGAGAAACCTACAAAGATCAGCCACCTACAAATGATTCACACGCTACAACCAGCCCTGAAGCAGTTAGTTACTACAAGAAAGTCTCTTGCTTAGAACGCAGTTAGTTGCCTCTATTTGATAGGCATAGCCACAGCACCAGTTGTTTCAGCTGAGTGCCCTTGAACGTAATACGCATAGCGTTAGTGTAAGAAAGCAACTTTGGGACTCAAGTACATACACATCATAGTGATAGATGAATTATAAAAACAAGTTTTGTAGCAACTGTCTGTACTTAAAGAATATCTTTGATCTTAACGCATCCAGGGCTTTTTATTTATTGCTTGCTGTTCCCAAAGAAATGTCCTCTGCTAGTAAAAGCTGATATAATGGTACTCCTGCACCTCTGAGCATCCAAAACACACTCATTTCTTTGTCTGTAAATGTATTGCTTTTGGGCACCAGCCCAGGTTCTGAATTGCATCAAATCACGCATAAAATTATCCAACTCAGGCATTAAAAAGGCATACGTAACATCTTGAAAGCTTGTCTTACTTGCCTGCTCCTATTATCTAATATGACAGTATTTCTCTTTCAGGCCTCTCTTGAGCAAAACATGTGATGCTGCATATGTTGCACATTACATGTTTTAGCATTGCAGCCTCTGACACAAATATTTCCGCTCTTGGAATGACAACTGATTGCAGTTATTACCAATAAAGAAATTCTTTCAGATGATTAGAGAAGTTACTTGCATTCACTTCAAGCATTTCTGGGACTGTAAGGATTGTGTTTATGCCCTCTAAAAAAATAAGTATCTTTGCAATAAAAGTCATTACAATATACAATCAGATTCTGGCATGTAAGAAATACAAAGATGCCTCTCTATTCACTCATTTTATAGCAGAGCATAAGTCCTAGCCTGTAAGAAAATGCTAGTTCCTCTAAGACTCCATTTTAAAATATAAACTTGGAGTATACAACGTCAGAGCCAGAAGAATTATTCAACATCTACGTCTTTATTCTTGAATTAGACACTGATAGATAAAAAGATCCACTTAAAAATTATCACCTCATAGAAGACTGAAATCGCTCAGATGCTATACACTGTTTTTCTAACCTTTATACCTTCAGGGTGATTGTGAACTTGCAGGTATGAGCAGGTATATAGAATGTAGAAGATGTGTTCAAGAAAAAACACAAATGAATTTCAGTTCTTCCCCGCTGTTCATATGAATCTCCACGTATATCTTCAAATAGATAAGGCATTGAACCATTTTGATGGTCACCTGTCAAATAAGGCCAGGTGCCTTTCCCCAAATGATCCTCTGTAAGTATATTTACTTTAAACTGAAATTTGTTTCTTCGTACGTCTTTAAACTTGAGTTCAAATAGGCATGGTTTCTATCACATTGTGCTAAAGGTTGGAAATAAGGCATTATCCCGCCTAAAACCTACACCTGTTTCAGCAAATACCTCCACTGAAAGACACTACCTGCGAATTATCAGGGGGAGCAGAACCAGAATTACTGAGAAAACCTTATCTTTCCATCACTGTCAGCCAGCATTGGGTGTTGGCTGACTGGCTTAAAAAAGAACAAGATTAGTCCCCATAACCTTAACTCTCTTGTATGATTCAAATGCAGGCACGACAATGCAGAGATGCTAAATATGTGGAGCTTGTAAAGGTATCTGGGATCAAGAAAGCAGAACGATCAGCGATGAGACAGAAAAGCCCATCCTAAAACGCTGCCGTACTTGTGCAGTCTTGGGGGCACACAGCCGGGTCTTTGCTCTCAACCACATCGCAGGTGCCATCGGGACAGGTCTTGATACTCGGGGTGCATGTGGAATAGTTTGTGGTGATCCCTGTTAACACAGAAACAAACAGCTGCACAAATACCACGAGGCTTGGAAGGAAAGCTCACTGCATCTTCTCGGTGCACGCTGACACACCAAAGCACAGGTTACTTTTTAAAATAAAAATCTATGAATATAAACACCATTTCCTAAAGTAACAGGCAGGACGACAGCTAAAAGCAACTAGAAGGAATCTATTTTTCACTATGTTTTCTGTTTTTGACAGCCCTTTGGGCATGTCACTTGTTACAGTGAGTAACTTGAACAGGAGCTAGTAGACCATTTTGAGACTGAAGAGTGGCTTTCACAATTAAGGATGTCTCTACACGATTTCACACATACTTGAACGTGAAGGTTACAAGCGGTCAAAGAGAATTTGTGATACTCATGCAGTTTGAGGGGATAAAGCATCAGCACAGGAGCATTGTTCTGGAAGAGTCAAGAGTACTGTCACCCGCTGGATCTGTGACCACAGAAAACTAACAGAGATACAGCTCCTGTGCTCACCAGCAGCTGCTGGGGCATGCCCAGAGGCTTACTGGTATGTTCCAAGCTCAATTCATGGTTGCAGAGATTATCTTGCAAGCCATAAACCACCCATTCCAGTCACACTGCTGCAAACCCAATTCACGACCGGGTTTAGTGTATCGTGTTCAGCATCACCAGGGACAAGATCAAGAATGACCGTTCCAACTTGACCTCATTTTCCTTCCTAGTGCAGGTTTTATTTGGGTATTATGATGAATTCTTTTAGCCCCGGGTTCTGTATAGTTTATTACATCGTGCTGTCCATCCAGAGTAAATCAGTTTATACCTATGGAAGTCAAATGCACGAGTATGACTGAACAGAAGCATGATTTCACACGAGAGAAATGTACCTTTTCCACTCCCCTGTCTCCACTGGCACCTTCCCGTCAGCACTCCCAGGCCACCGCACTCTTCACATTCAGCATGGTGCTTACTTACGGCACAAGAGTCCGGGCAGTCCTCCTCTTTTTTTAAAACTGTGGGGAAGAGTGCTTGCTGTCAGTGCAGGACAAGGGAGATGACTACACAAGCAAGTCAGCTCAAATCAGAAGGAAAATTCCATTCTTAGGGATAGACAGGAAGGAAAGAAAGATGAAGAAAGAAGAGAAAGACTGAACACTGACTGACCCAACTATCGGTAAACTTAGATAACAATTATAAGTCCAAGTGTTTCTCTTCTGTGAAACAAGAGACAAATGATGGCATGGTTATCTTTGCTTGATAGCACACTGTCAATACCCAGAACTGTAGAAATATGCTAACATACTGATAAGAGAAAAATGAGGACCATAAGTACTTACAGCTTCATACAAAACTTTTAATTAAGGGAAAATACTTCATACTTGGGCTAACACAGGAGCAGGCCAAAGAGCAACAGCTAGGAATGTGTGATTTCGGACAGCACGAGGCTCGTGCAAAAAGGAAAAAGGTCACTGCAGGCTTTTGTTTCTTTTTCCTCAACCCGTTTGCTCCTGGCATAGGTGCTATGATATGATGCAAGGGAACATGGGCAATTGTGAGGTAGAACTGTAAGGTTCTGCACAAAGGGTGACATGGTTTGGAGAGAAATTATTATGCTTCCAGTGTAATCCTCTTCTGTTGTGGATGTCATGGAACATTTCTAACATTCTGCCCTTATGAACTTCTCAGTAAAATGAAGTAAATGGAATTGCTACATTAATGTTAAGCAAAAAAATTTTTAAAAAAGGAAAGCATGGAGTCAGAAGTAGGGAGAAAGATGATTGCATAAATATACTTTGGCCAGAGATTTGTGGTTTCATATATATACACACACACTTCTTTTTCTTACATAGGAATATGTGAAATACAAAATAAAGGTCAGAGACACACAAGAAAGATTCTTCTAAATCAAATATCATCAGGAACATTAGGAGTTGTGTAGGATACACCACCTTTCTGTGCATTAGTTCTTCTACAGGTCTGATTCAGAACTCAAAATGCAAACTTTGCGATCTGTATCTTATAACTCAGACTCGTTTGCATTGCTAATGCCGTCAGTATATAGACTAATGCATAACCTAGTACTCATAAGTCTCGTAAATAGTTCTAATTGACTCGGGTACTTACGAGTTCCTTCCAGTACAATAGTGAGGAGGGTTTTTGCATGTTTCCTGCTCTGTCTGTCTGTAGCTTGAACAGTGTATTGTATTTCCTTACATTCGGGGATGCGTAGCACAGAGGAATCATTCACATAAAGGCTGCCCCATTTGTCTTCTCGCCCTTGAAGTATGCTGACAGGATAGCAGCTTGCACTGGGGGACAGTAACTTGTAGCTGATGTTCACGCCATGGAACTTCATACAGTTTTCAATGCAGATTTTTCCTATCTAGGCTCAAACACCAACAAAGAAATCACAGACAACAGAAACAAAACACAGAAAGCAGAAACAAAACCATACATCAAAAATAATCTGTGCTTCCCAAATATATCTGAAAGAAAATTGAGCATATTACACCTTGCAGAGTTCAGCATTTATCTTGGGTTTACAGATTTGATATTTTACTACCACTGCGGTACATGAACGCATCAATGTGATTTATTCTCAGTAAAAATGAGAGGTAAAGTATTACCATTGTCTTCAAGCTAACAGTGGAAATGCAAAAAAGCCTTGACCCAGAGACTCAGGGATATCTGGTGCCTACTGCTGATGGTCAGCAGTGTTCAGTGAGAACAAGACCCCGTGGTCTGGGAAAGTCTGAGTTCAGTCCCTGCTCTGTCCCAGGCTGATCAGTAAGAAAAACTTTGGTTTTGCTTGAGAAAGCAAATAACTCAGTTTGAACAAAGCTGAGACTCTTTTCAAGTACGACAGAAATAGAAATTGCTAATACATAATTTTCCTAATAGTACAGTCAAAGAGTTTCTGGCCAGCAGAGTTGTCTGAAAGCCTCAAAAGGAATAAGAACCTGATTGTTTCCCATTTGCAATTTTAAAAATATTTTTATCTAAAAATGAAAATATGCTGGGTTGCCATATTTGAACTTCTGTCTGCCAGAATATCTATGCTAGAGAACTCTTCAGTCTGAAACAATTTATCTAAGCAGCACAGGAATGTAAAGCCCTGTCTCCTGTCCAGCTCCTATAGGATCTGATCCAAAGCTCACTTGGGTTTTTTCCATTTACAAGAGTGGGATTCGGATCAGGTCCAGAAGCACTGGCTTCCCTTGCAGGGAAAGCCACAGTATGAAGGGTGGGGTGCCACTGAAGGGAACTTGCTGATGGATTCTTTTCCAATGCTGCAGTTAAGATGTTTTTTCAAGTAACACCACTTCTGGTAAAAGCACATCTGTACATCTTTGGTTTAGCATTCTTATTAAAGAATGTAAAAACAACAACAACAAAAGCTTTTTGTACTAAGACCACTTCCTATGAACTTGATTTAACATCAGAGAGGAAGCTTTTGCAGTCCTAGAAGCATACTTTGTCATAGGATAGTCCCACTTCATCTAACTTATTCCCATTCACATCACTGACTGGTCACTTGGCACCATTTGCTGGGGTTTTTTTGTTGGTTTTTTCTGGTGGCAGGATAACATACAAAGACTTTTAAAGCAATCAGAAGCTAGACCATTTCTTCCACACCATCTCTCCACAGCATGCTGGGACTGGCAGGAAGAAAAAGAACTAAAGAAAAGACTGCAGCTGTTCATAAACTCTGTCTAGACACAAGGTCTAGACAGGTCCCTTCCAGAACCACATCATCTTTGCTTTGGTGCTGCATTGCAACTGCCAGTGTTTTGCAACTGCTTAGATGGTGTTTCTCTCAGGCAGTAGGAGGACATAATGATGTTCCATGGCATTAACCTTTATATAGACTACGTTAAACTGTCCTTTCTGCCGCCTCTGTCATAACCGCTTTTTCCAGGCGCCTCTTCGATCAACAGAAATTCCAAAGGGGATGGAGAATACCCCATAAATTCTGGGTCCCTGAAGAGCAGATTCTCCTTGGACTAGTACATGGGCCAGTTTTGCTTTCTCTGTATAATTTGAAGAGAAGCTAAAAATGCCCCTCTCAAGAAGTTTGCACAAGAAAGACAGTCTTTCTCTTTTTGCCTGATTCTGCTAGGTAAAGCCCAAGCTTGTAACTTTGCCCTGCACGGCAGGTTCTGGAGCCAGCACAGCTCTTGGATGGAGCGGAGCTCAGCACAAGGGGAAGGAGATAACAGCAGCCAGTTCCTCCTCCTCATAAGGAGGCTGAAAAAAAGCCTGGTAATCAGGACTAACACCAACACACAGCGGAGGAAACTACAAAGGTGCATTTTGCAAGACACACAGCAGTTAACACGGAAATACCATTATCAGAAACAGGAACAGAAAAATCCATCTTTCGAGCTCCCGAGTTTAATAAAGTCTGGATAACGATAACGTTCCTCTTCACTGAATTCCAGGGACATTTGGACATATAACCTCTCTAAAAATCTCAGCTGATGTTATTCATCATTTGCCTCAGTAAATGCCAATAGAGCTTTAAGTCCTTTGATAAGTTAAATGCCACTGGGCAAGCCTGTACCATCAGGCCATGCTTCTGTTATTCAATTCATTTAGCTGCTCAAATAGACAAATGGCATCAGCCCAGCAGTTAATCATTTCTTCACGCTCTTGTGTTTTCCTTAGGGCAAGAAGACAGTTCAGTCTTCATATTGATTTGGCCCAGTACTTTGCCTCGCTACTCTGGCACATCACAGCTAATTTTGCAGACAACTTTAATAATGTGGAGTGCTGGGGACTAAGCTGCTTCCATTGACTTGTGCTCCAACCTGAGCACACTGTGAAGTCAAACCCAGCGTCAGAAGTAAGTGGATGACAGTAACTGATGGAGACCATCTCCAGAGCCAGGATGAGGTTTGCGTCTTGCTGGTCAAGAATCAGAACAAAATCTCTTTGTGAATTTGTGTTTAGGCAGCACAGAGATCTCTTCCCATAGACTTGGAGTCCTTCTTGCCAGAAACAGTTTTCCCTGCTGCTACTGCCACCCAGTGAAACCACAGAGATAGTGGGAGGCACCACTGGTTCCAGAAAGCCTTAAATTCCTTTTCAGATGTTTGACTGTCCTGACAGCATGCAAAACCAGCAGCTTTAAAAGTCAAAATTTTTTTTTTTTCGGTTCTGCATTCTGGAGCTAGAAAATGATATGCTCCCAGACCTCAAACAAATGCATTCATGCAGTCTAAGGTATGCACACATAAACATGGTTTAACCAGATTTAATTCAGAATTAATTCATTCATAATAATACTGTATGCATACACCTAAATGTAAAATCTGTGTGTATTTGTATACATATATATACACACACACATAAAAATCAATTAATTCGTATATATTCATACACACCTACCAGTTAAGTTTCCACACTTTTCAAAATTACAGTCATGTGACATACATACAGTTGGGGCCCATTTCTAGATGCTAAGAACTAGACTATGAGTATCTTACACACCTATGCTGTTATTTCTTTTAGGGGGAAACCCACCAATTTCACCTATCTTTAGGCGAAAGTTTTTTCCACCGCTGAGAATAAAGCTTTCATAATCCGGTGCTACAAAAAAACCAAACCTAACATAAAAAATAATCTGATCTGCACAAAAAGCAAAGAATATGCTCCAAGGTTTCTAACAGACTGCAAATGTAAAAGCTGCAGCTACAAGGCATCACAAAACATCATAAAGTAGCAGCTTTTTGTAGGGAGCCCCTGTGTGAGCACACTTGGTATCTTTTTCTTGTTTAGGATATTCAGTGCAGACTATGGGTAAAATGTCCCTTGACCAAGCAGTAGCATGTTTATTGGCCGTGCAAGGCCTGTTCCGTGTTCTGAAGAGCTATCAGGCCATAGTGCATTTCACCAAATTAAATACAAGAGCACGCAATACATCTAACTTTCCTTTTCCTTTCTTTTTACAATTAACCAGAGGCGTAAAGATTAATAAAGCTGAATTCTTCCTTAGAAGTCTTCTAATGAATTGGTTTTCTCTGCAATTGGGATGATCATATTTTAGCCTCAGTCCTCCTCTCTGCTACAATTACAATGGCAGTTTTATAGCTTTATTTAGTTATGAGGTATCCTGTCCACCAGCTTCCCCAAAATGGCTCATCACTGATTTTTTTAATATTCACTTTCATAACATTAATTATATTGAACTAGTTCCTTGTTAATGTACATGTTCCACAGGAATTACATTGTAATTTTCACCTGATTAATGTCAACCTGTTAGAAAGTGTTTCTGGAAGGTATTATTAATGGCAATGGTGGTGATTAAGCTAAAACGAAGGTTTAAATTAGGAAACACATTAATATCTAACTAGCCATTATCTAGAGAAAAGCTATTAACATACTGGAATATGTAGAGCTGGAACAAATTTCTTCTTTTTGCCCTTGATATTTTTCCAGTTACTTATGCCTAAGCCAGTCACAGCTGCAAGTCCTTCTGTCTCTATTTCTCTCTATTAATACTTCCATGCGTAGCCCTTCTGCTGTTATTGTGTGATGGGAGAGCTAGCGTCCAGTCAATATGCTCTCCACTGCTTCCATCAACAGCCATACCGACACCACATTTTTCACCGATTCTACTCAAAACAGCTACAACCAACGCTTTAATGCATCTCGCCCCAGTGATCTATCTACTAAGCTCTGTCTCTAACAAAGTGGAAGTATAATTAACAGAGTTCTTACTTGTGCAAAACGTTCAGCATTTCTGTTCACTGTGAACTGGTAAGTCATGTTTGGAAACTGAATGCTGACAGGGAGGATGGAGACATTGAAGTGAAGCATCACCGATCTTTCTGGGCCGTGAAATTCTGTGTCGTTCACCAAAACATCCAACTGGAAGGAACGATGCTCTGTGACTGAAATGCTTTTATTCAGTACCAGTTCTGCAAAAGAAAAGATTGGTCTATTACCAACCCGCATTACCTGAAAACGTATGTTCTGATGCTGCAATCCCAACAAATTACATCAAAATTATACATATCAAAGTTAATCCTAACAGGAAACAGAAGGTGTGTTAAATATGAAAATATGCTCCTCTGGAGTTGTGCTCTGTGCCATTCAAGATGTTTGGAGAGGTCCTCTTCCTTTCTAACTGCCATGCTGAGAACCCTACAATCAGAACCCCTTGCTTTGCAATAGACACAGCATTATCCCATACACTCCCTATACCAGAGAGGCACAAGCTCCATGTTTTCAGTACGTGTTTAAAACTCCACGTTTCCTTAACTTGACATTTCTCAGCATTCTTCGGCTCAATATTTACAAAATGCTTAGGAAAGTTCAAGAGCTTATTGGTCAATTACTAACAAGCAACTTCTCCTTTACTGGAAGAAAGTGACCTTACTGTACTCGTGTTGAGTTCCCCTCACTTGGCTGCCATTTGGGCTGAAGTGGATTTCATTGAAGATGTGCTCTACCCGAAACGTTTCACTTATCCAGGGATCATCAGTAACGATGGTTCCTGTGTATTTCTTTCTGCTGCTTTCAAGGGGATAAATAGGTGTGGTGTCTGCATCGTATACAGTTAGCGTTGCAAGGACAGTTCCCTAGAAGGAAATAATAAATGGCATTGCTGAATGACCTTGAAGCTTTCTTCCCCTGGTACATGTTAGGAGATTCAAATATTGGTCAGATAAAACCTTACAACTTTCACTCAAGCCCACTTTCATCCAAACTCATTTTAAGCTTCTGTTTGTTTTGGTTTCGGCTGCTGCCGGC